GGGCCCCCCAGCCAGCGTAGGCTGACGATAACATCCGCCCATCGGGGGAGGGAGTTCTGCACAGCCTCTCCAGGTGAGCCGCGGGCAGAGCCCTGCAAGCCTGAGCTGGAGAAGCCTCTGGAGAGCTGGTCTGACGGGACTGCCCAGGACAGCCAGTAGCTGTTCTGAGACGGCAGCAGCACGGCAAACTGAGGGACTGCAGAATCTTTCCCAGGGGTCTGACTTGTCAGTTTGCCCAGGAGCTCAGGGCCTAGGTGGGGTCAAGAAGGAGTTTTCCCTAGGTCAGACTGGCAGAGTCCCAGTGGCTCTCACCCTCCCCTGCAGTGTGGAACCAAGTCGCTTGCAGCGAGTCCGTGGTGGATCCTCTGGGACCTGGAGCCATTAAAGATGATGTCGGCTCAGTCACTCAGCCAGCGGTCAGGAGGGAAAGGGGGAGGGTTCTGCAGCCTGCGCTGTGCTGGGGGTCAGACTAGCTGATCATGTTGGTCCCTTCTGGCCTTACAGGCTGTGGATCTGGGTGAGCTTGCAGCCTGTGTCCAGGCACTGGACCCTCAGTTTTGCTCCGTAATCTCCCTCTTCGTTGTCTGCATAGGCCGGGGGGCTGTCAGTGTGCACAGTGTCCAGGCATAGCTAGAAGAGAATCCGGTGCCTGGCGGAGCTCTGCATTACAAAGCTTTCTGCTCACCGCAGTGGCACCTCAGCCCATGGCAGCGGCTCAGACAAGGTGAGAAGTGAGGAGTCACGCTCAGGATAAAAGGCAAATTTGCCGGGAGTCTCTGTGTGAGACAGCAGCCCGCCCTATGCCCAGCGCGGAGCGAGGGCTGCCTCTAGGAGGAGGTCTTTCCACGCTCTCCCCCAAAGGAGGTATTGACTGCCAGTTGTGGTGTGGATACTTGTCATCTAGGAATGGGCTGAGCTCCACCAGCTCCGCTTGGGAAAATCCCTCCGCGGGGTTAGCCAAACCTTTGCTTGCTGTCGAAACCAAGCGGCAGTAGTTGTGAGAACAGGCTCTGTCTCTCAATGGGCAATGTTTCCTGGTGCCAGGCAGGCCAGCAAATTATAGCCCCAGTGTGTCTCTTGTTATTGTGACATGTCTTGTCCAAGTGGAAGCCACACACTGGGGAGCCAGGCAGGGAGAGACCGGCACATCTGATTTTTAAACTTTCGCCATGGGAAATGAATCTCTGAGTCAGAGATTGTAAGGCCAGAAGGGATCACCTAGACTGACCCCCTGTGTATCACAGATCTTTACATTGTACCCAGTTAACTCTGCATTGAGTCCAACAGTGAGCAGTCCTGTTGCACCTTAGAGACTAACCAGTATTAGATCATGAGCTTTCATGGGTAAACCCACTTATCAGATGAGTTGGAAATGGGGAGGGAAGGAGTGAGAATGCGTCACACTCGGGAAGGGACAGACCTAGGTGGTAAGAGGAGGGGTGGAGGTGGGGCATGGGCTAGTGTGGGGCTGGGCACCCCAGGCACTTTTGAAAGTCAGCACCTGTGCTAGCTACTGTAAATGCAGGGTGTGTGTGTGTGTGTGTGTGTGTGTGTGTGTGTGTGTGTGTGTAAATACCTAAAATGCTCTGCTTATCTCTGCACGTTGTCTCGACTCCAGAATTCTCCAGGCTGCAGATATGGAGAATCTCGTCTTAAAGCCAACCTGATATTGTATAGCTGAGAAGAGTGGAGGAAAATGTAAGTCACATTTTGATGAACATTATTTCTCCTTTATTCTACAGCTATCCTCCATCATAGAGATGCTAGAAAGTGCTTTCTATGGCTTAGACCTTCTAAAGTTGCACTCCGTCACAACAAAACTGGTGGGCCGAGTGGAGAAACTAGAGGAGGTAAGATGAGATTCTTTTCCGTTGGGTTGTTTTGTTAGAGACAACACCATGCAAAACAAAGTAGCACCTCATCATTTGGCATCTGGAGCCAAAGCATGGTATTCCATTCCTTCTGGGAGAATCAGTAATTAGCCACCATTTCATTTAGCTATGGGGCCACTATTGTCACGACCTACGATTGGACATTTGGAGAAAAGAAATCAAGGGATATCATTTCAGAAGTAATTTACATATTCAAAGGTCTTTAGGCACCTAAAAATGCAGATAGGTGCCTAGGCAATTTTGGAAATCCAACTTGATGTCCCGCTGCTTCTTTAGCTGCCTAAAGACCTTTGCACATCTGGCCCGTAGATGCCTAACTTCCACTGTCTTTCACTGAGGCTTAGTGCTTAAGTCACTTTTGAAAATGGGACAGAAGTCCCTACATCTTTTAGGTGCTTTTGAAAATTTTATCCTGCCAGTGTTGTCAATTCTCACAAGTCTTGAGCTTTTTCATACTCTTCTTAAAGCCCAAGTTCCGGGAGTCATGTGATTTTGTGAGCATCTTAGCTTTTGTTTCGAAGAAGAGGACAATCGCGTGGTTATGGGGAAAAGCTTGGCAATGTGACCTGAGCATAACCTTCAGGTTTAAAGACTAAACAATAAGAACTTCAAATATTTTATTTTTAAGAGCTTCATGATTTCTTCAGCCTGACTCATGGCTTTAGATTCCTGGGGATTGACTGTGGTGAGCCTGTTTCTGGTAACCCACAGGGGTGGTGGAAGGTCTCGTTTTAGCCAGACACAAACAGATATGACATCTTGCAGCTCAGTCAAAGCAGATCAATGGAGGGGGATGTGGGTGGGTCAGGGGGTGTTGCATTTCTGAACCCTGTGACTCTCCTCCTGTGCGCAGTGCTTCCTGGCTGCTGTAAACAGGATAATCTTGTGGGACACTACTGAGAGACTCCGATTCAGGATGAACTGCTGAGGACAACGGGCAGTCACAGCCCAAGACTGGGGGCCCTCCCCTTACAAAGCACGCCCAACCAGCCAAAAGAGCACTTCTGTCTCTCCCCCTGCCCTGCCCCCAGCTAACAAGAGGTCAGAAAAGCAACTAGCTCAGCTACTCCAGTCCCTCGGGGTGGGGCTGGGTAGTTATTAAAACCAGTCTCATAAAAAAAAGTTTCTTCTGATCCCAAAGGAGAAGCCACACACCCAGGTCAATATAGAACTTAGATCTCCTCCAAAACCGCACTCTCGTCAATCGTAATAGAGCTGCAGCCGTGCTAGTCTGGTCTGGCTGAAACAAAAGACAGGACTATGTAGCACTTTAAAGACTCACAAGATGGTTTATTAGATGATGAGCTTTCGTGGGCCAGACCCACTTCCTCAGATCAAATAGTGGAAGAAAATTGGCACGACCATATATACCAAAGGATACAATCAAAAAAACTGAACACATATAAAATTGACAAATCAGATTTTAGAACAGAGGTGAGGTGAAGGGGGGAGGTTCGTGTCTAGGAGATAATGGTATTAGGGATGATAATTGGGGAAGCTGTCTTTGTAATGGGTGAGATAATTAGCATCTTTGTTAAGGCCCATTCATAAAGTGTCAAATTTAAGCATGAATGACAGTTCTGAGGCTTCCCTTTGTAGTCTGGTGTTAAAGTCTCTTTGAAGCAGGTTGCATGTAGTTAGGTCACTGAGACAAGGCCCAGTCTGGCTGAAATGACAAGAAACTGTTTTTTCTTTGTGAAACTGTCTGATGTCTGTTTTGTGGACATTGATTCTTTGGCGAAGTGTCTGAGACGTTTGTCAATCGTTAGTATCTAAAACCTCAAGGATTATTTATTGTAAAAAGAAGGGAAGCAAGAGTACAAGCTGCAATTGGTTAAAGGAATCAAACACACACACAGCAGTTGCAAAGCTCTTGATTTGTCTTGTGGCAGGGATGGAACAAACTGCTGGTTAAGTCAAGTCTCTGGTCACTTCCAAATCATTGGAAGGCCCAGTCCCTTTGCTAGAATGCGCCTGTTGGTGCGAGTCCATAGTCTCGAGGCTTGGCAGCAGAGAAGAGAGTTTTCCCCACAGTGTTTGGATGTGGGGAGTTCGGACGTTTACCGGGCCCTTTGGGGCCAGCGGGGGAGGGTGCGCTGTGCATTCCTGGTAGTGATATATGGAGTGACAAAGCCTTATGTCAGTTAAGCAATGACCCTGGTGTGTCTAACTGTGTGGGGTAGGGAGTTTGGGATTATGAGGCATTCAGTAGGGTTGCATGGGTGTAACTAAAAGAACAATTTGGTCGTGTCATTTCCCCCAAATTAAGTTAACTCCATACTCATCTTGGGCCAAGTCTGGGGGAAACTGGGAGCAGATCTGGCCTTTTGTATCTACTGGTAGATTCTTCTCCACGGGCCAAATTTTGCTTATCTACCCACATGCAGGTCGTGGCTCCAATGTTTTATTCTCCCTGCAGGAGATTCATGGACATAGGGAACAGAGCAGTGCAGTGCAGTGACACAGTGGTGATCAGAGAGCACAATTCTGCTCTCATTCAGCCAAGCCATTTCTGCCTTTTAAATACTGAAGATTCAGCAGGGAACTCCTGCGACCCAGCCAGAGACCAAGTCAAACCAGAATAAAAGGGTGGGTCTCAAGTGGAAACAGAAACATCGGTGCCCCTTGCCCTCGTTTCTAGGTCACCAGATGTGCTCAGTGCAGCAACCCAAGATGCCACATTCACAAGCACCGTTTTCAGACACCTCTGCTTTGGCCTCTTGGCTGAGCTGTGCAGTGCTCTCCCGAGATGCTGTGCGTGTGGAATTCTGGCTTGTTGTATCCACTGCAGTTGGCTCAGGTTTGAAGTCTATTGGGATGGGTCTACATTTAAAAGAATTTGGATTTACTCTCCAAGATGCAGGGCGGGGGGGAAAGCTCCACTATTTGTGCTGGCAACCTGATGCTACGCAACTACGTGCAGTTTAACAAATGGCAAAGGACGTATTGGCCGCCACGGTGTTCCATTGCATGAAAGAGAGAGCCATCTATGGGGAAAACCACTTGAAAGAAAATTCTATTGGAGCTCACCGCTTGTAAGTTGGGATTTCACGCGTCGATGATGTACTCTGAATTCAAACTGTGTGTGCATCTCCCTTGCCTTAGTCTGCCGCTCTCAGGCACTAGTAAGAGACTGGAGTGTCCTGCCAGCTGCCCCTACTTCCCCCAGCACATCTGAGCCACTTGTGGATTTTATGGAAAGCAAGAGCTCCTAATGAGCAACACCAAAACTACCATTGCAAGGAACTGGACTGCACCCCCAGTGGCACTTCTCCGGCTGTGACGTGGCCTGATCAGCAGTGTTAGAGCCACAGCATGGACCTTAACCCTTTGTGGTCAGAGCTGTAACCAGACACTAGCTCTCTCCTGTAAGGGCTCGATACACGCAATGGGAATTACCCAAACCGCTCAGTTCCAGGCAGCACAGTGCTGGCTTAGCTCTGATTGAAAAATACAACCGGGTGTTTAACCAGAACGAGATGGGTTCTAGGTGAGCTAAGGCATTAAAGGCAGAAATGGTTACAAGAGAAAACAAACGCTGTCCAGGAACTAGACAGCTTAGACTTGGGTCAAGGTAAAATCCTCTCCACGTGTTCCCAGCAAAGGGGCTGACCGATTTCCGCGGCCACAAGGTAAGTACCTAACCCAGCAGTGCCACTCCTGGGGAGTCAGGGCGGGTTTGAGGCGTTGGAGGGTGGGGACAGCACGTGACCCATTACAACCAGTTGAAGCATCAGCGCGCTGCTCGTGAGCCCGGGGCTGGCTGCAGCTTGATGAACCCCAGGACAGTGTTCAGTGCCAAGGGCGGCAGCCTGGCAGCCTTTTCCCAGACACTTCAAGCCAAAATGGAGGCAGCAGCTCACACTGGCTTGGCTCAGACAAGTACCCTTTGTCCTGGTCTGTGATGAAAACAGGATCACGGCACACGGGTTGGAAGAGACCTCAGGAGAGCCCTGTAGTCCAGCCTCCAGCCCTGCCGCTTCTCCTCCCCACTGGAGCCCTGAGCCCCCGCCCCCTGCTCCCTGCCACTCCCACCCCACTGCTCCTGTTGGAGCCCAGACCCAGGCTGGCCCCCAGCTCTGCAGCTTTCGCTTCCTGCCAATGCTGGAGCTAGAGGCCCCCTTGCCTCCCAGTCTAGCCCCCAGACTTATAGGTGCTGTCCCTGTCCCTGCCAGAGCCTGGAGCCTCCCCACCACAGCCACCAGCCCCAGGCTAGCTGCTTCCAAGCCCCCCACTGGAACCCAGAGCACCATGGACCTGCTAGCCCCTAGCCCTGTCACTCGCCCGTCCCTGCTGGAGGCCATGGCTGCTGGCCCTTGCCCCAGGCTGGAAGCAGAGGGCCTGGGGGCACAGCCTGGGGTGTCCTTACCTGCCGCGCATGGGAGCTCTTGCGGAGAGACTAGCCAGGAAAGTGGCTCGTTTGGTTTGTGGCTTCGCGTTCTCTCTGTGGCCACTAGCTAGGACCCCTCGTCTCGCTGTGGAAGGGCCCCGGTGAACAATTAGGCACCAGAGCGTTGTCTGGGGAAGGCATTTCTAGAGGCCAAAGCCCGGTGCCAGCACGGTGCGGCCGAGGGCCTGACGTGGGGAAGTAGCTGTAAAATCAGAGCTCTCGCGCTCTCTCTCTCTCTCGCTCGCTCTCTCTCTCTCGCTCTCGCGCTCTCTCGCGCTCTCTCTCTCTCGCGCTCTCTCGCTCTCGCGCTCTCTCGCGCTCTCTCTCTCTCGCGCTCTCTCGCTCTCGCGCTCTCTCGCGCTCTCTCTCTCTCGCGCTCTCTCGCTCTCGCGCTCTCTCGCGCTCTCTCTCTCTCGCGCTCTCTCGCTCTCGCGCTCTCTCGCGCTCTCTCTCTCTCGCGCTCTCTCGCTCTCGCGCTCTCTCGCGCTCTCTCTCTCTCGCGCTCTCTCGCTCTCGCGCTCTCTCGCGCTCTCTCTCTCTCGCGCTCTCTCGCTCTCGCGCTCTCTCGCGCTCTCTCTCTCTCGCGCTCTCTCGCTCTCGCGCTCTCTCGCGCTCTCTCTCTCTCGCGCTCTCTCGCTCTCGCGCTCTCTCGCGCTCTCTCTCTCTCGCGCTCTCTCGCTCTCGCGCTCTCTCGCGCTCTCTCTCTCTCGCGCTCTCTCGCTCTCGCGCTCTCTCGCGCTCTCTCTCTCTCGCGCTCTCTCGCTCTCGCGCTCTCTCGCGCTCTCTCTCTCTCGCGCTCTCTCGCTCTCGCGCTCTCTCGCGCTCTCTCTCTCTCGCGCTCTCTCGCTCTCGCGCTCTCTCGCGCTCTCTCTCTCTCGCGCTCTCTCGCTCTCGCGCTCTCTCGCGCTCTCTCTCTCTCGCGCTCTCTCGCTCTCGCGCTCTCTCGCGCTCTCTCTCTCTCGCGCTCTCTCGCTCTCGCGCTCTCTCGCGCTCTCTCTCTCTCGCGCTCTCTCGCTCTCGCGCTCTCTCGCGCTCTCTCTCTCTCGCGCTCTCTCGCTCTCGCGCTCTCTCGCGCTCTCTCTCTCTCGCGCTCTCTCGCTCTCGCGCTCTCTCGCGCTCTCTCTCTCTCGCTCTCTCGCTCTCGCTCTCTCTCGCTTCCTCTCAACATCCCAGGAAGTGTCCAGAAACCTCTCCAGAGAGAACAAGCCCTTCCCAGGGCGTGCGGCTGCAGCGTGGAGTGAGCCAAACACGAGGGACAAGGAAAACGGATCCAGCAGCATCTCCAACAGCCTGCCAGACGTCCGGAGCTCTCTGCAGAGGGATGCTGCGGCTGCGTACGCCCACCCGGAGGTAATGCCGGCTGCCCTCCCTCTGTGCCAGGAGCCCCTGCGTGCCCGCAGTGCTGGGCTGCGACAGGCGCTGAGGGAGAAGCGTGGAGTGAGCCAAACACGAGGGACAAGGAAAACGGATCCAGCAGCATCTCCAACAGCCTGCCAGACGTCCGGAGCTCTCTGCAGAGGGATGCTGCGGCTGCGTACGCCCACCCGGAGGTAATGCCGGCTGCCCTCCCTCTGTGCCAGGAGCCCCTGCGTGCCCGCAGTGCTGGGCTGCGACAGGCGCTGAGGGAGAATCGCACCGGAGCTGCAGGGCTCACTGAGCGGCAGGGCTGGGGAGCTGCTTCCCACGCCCCTTCCTCTGCCCCTCCCGTTCCTGCCCCACTGTTCTCCCACGCACCAGGGCACTGGCAGGGCCACGGGCTCCAGGAGTTGCCCAGTACGCAGCCCGAGCCCTGGCAGTGTCTGGGGCCAGTCCCTCTTCAGTGCCCCAGAGCCCGCAGCCTGCGCAGCGCCACGGCAGACACCCCCCGGCAGGGCCTGCGTCCGCTTCTTGAGACCGGGGAGCGGCCGGAGGGGAGTCAGGCTTCCCCCGGAGCTGGAGCAGGCACAGCCCGTCTGTCCTGCTCTGGCCAGGGCGCCTCTCAGGAGAAGGACAAAGACGCTCTGGGCCCGGGGCTGGGGCGGCCATGGGCGCAAAGCCTCACTCTCTTGAAAGGGCCTGGAGGCAGTGGTGGGTGGAACAGCCCCTCCCTTGTGCCTTGGTCCTCCAATGAGACCTGCTTCGGGACAGGCCGATTGTGGCTCACTTGCGTCGAGCGCCACCTGGCCCGGTTTTAACTGGCAGTAGCTGGCTTCTCTCAACGGGGCTTCTGTGTCCAGAGCAGGGATCTTGCTG